TTCAACTCCCATGCTGGCTGGGGAGTTTGGGGAGTTGAAGTCCACCCATCTTCAAGTGGCCAAGGTTGAGAAACACTGGCTAGCAACTTTTCAACAGCTCAGATTCTTCAGCTTCTGGGATGGTGTAATCAAATCAGTCAAATGGGAGCAATGCAAGCCAGCCTGACATTTTTGGATGTGTGTTGATTTGCGGGTTCAAAAGAGGCAGGCTTGCAACGGGGTGTCCTGTCTGCTCCTGTGCCAATTTCACCCACCCTTCCCCTACCCTCTACGCCAGTGTTGTCCAGACTTGGCCACTTTAAGATGAGTGGATTTCAACTGGACCCCATGCTGGCTGGGGAATTTTGGGAGTTGAAGTCCACTCATCTTAAAGTGGCCTAGTTTGGACAACACTGCTCCATGCCCAGGGTCCAATCCTGATGCCTTGCTAAGTCAGAACTTATGCTTGCAACATAGTCTCCTGGGCAGCATACAACACATTGGGCCATAAACCAGTTTATGAGCCATCCTGACTAGGCACACAAGAGAGCCTCGGCTGCAAAATATGCTTTAGCACATGGACTGAAGATGTTTGCATTCTGGGTTAATGGAGCAAAGGTCCTGCTCCAAACTGATAATTTGGGTCACTTGAAGCATTTGCTTCATCACTTAATTACGGTCCTGGGGGCTTCGTGCTGCCTTCCAGATGTGTTAGGACTTCATCTCCCATCATTCTTAGCCAGTACATCAGGAAATATTTAGAGGGTCATAAGTTCCTCCACCCCTAATTAGAATGAACTTTGTAGCTCTGAGGATCAAGTTACATATGCAAGAATTTAACCTTTTTTTCACCCTATAGGAGGGGGGTGTAATCTTTTACCAGAAATAAGGGGTTTTGAGGAATTATCACAGCCTATTTACATTTTATGAATAGAAGGGAGTTAATTACAGGATACCCTTCCTAGTATTTAGACAGCTTGACAAAAATTGGGGCTATGTTTACAAGGAACTAAGCTTTGCCAACAAATCAAATACTGTATTAATACTAAGAATGAGAGAACTCCGTATTTGCTCCTTAACCCAAACCATGAATTCTGCAAGCATAGGTATCTAAAGGCAAATAATAATCTCACTATAAACCAAACAAATTCCGAATGGAGTAACAACTGGAAAGAACAGATTGAACTGACTGATGTCTGATATCTGCCTAGTAAAACAGTTTAATTATTCTGAGGTATTGCAAAGGTGCTTACCTTGTGATTTCTCCCAAAGCACCATATTCCACTGGTGCAATCTGATAAAACAGCTCTTTCACAAGCATTTTTGCAATAATAGGAAAGCTCTCCGAAGTACTTTTATGGATGAGCCATGTACGTGGTTTTCTTGGCAATGGTACAGAAGTTTTCCATTGCTTCCCTTCAGGTCCAGAGTTCCTTTTCCAAGATGAATTGTTTGTGCCTATACCACCATATCTGTCCTTACCCCCACTCTGGATTACTGTCATCCCTTTCCTTTGGACCATACCAATAAGGATAACCCTGGCAGGAGCTCATGTTCCCATGTTTGCTCTCAGGTTCATTGAACATGTCTAGATGGTGATTCCCTAGGAGAGGAATCCCTTAGTAGCTGGTAGTCATCATAAAAATAAACTCTGCTCGGTAATGTTGTCGGAAATAGAAGAAACAACAGATGCAGTGGATGGATAGGATAAGGGATATCACCAGAATTCTCTTGGAAGACCTGTGACTTGCAAAAGGAGACAAGGTGAGATGGAGAGCATTTATCCATACAGAGACCAGAAATTGAACCCAGCTTGATGGAACCTAATTATCCTATAGATGATCTCGAGGCCTTGTTTCGTCCAAAATTGTGTAACAGTGAATGGAGGTCATGAGAAACTGGTTGGTCTTCTGAATTCCTCATGATAGAACTGATGGGAACTGTACTGTGGTTCTACATGCCTAGAAGGCCCCAGGTTATGCACTTCTGGGCACCATGTTTCAAGAAAGATTAAGAGAAACTGGAACAAGTTTAAAGAAGAACAAGACATAAGACTGGGGGCTAGAAACTTGTGAGAGAGAATGAAGAAGCTGAGTATGTTTAGCCTTGAGAATAGAAAAACAAGGGGCATGAAAGCAGGCTCAAACATCTGGAGAATTGTCACCTCTAAGACCAAGACATGGCTCATTACCAGCTCAGCTTGCAGGATACAGAATTATGTTTTCAATTTACAGGGCAGCAGAGTGTACACTAATGTAAAGAAAAAAATCCCAATACTTAAAACAATTTGACCATCAGTTATTTGAAACAGCAACAGATTCCTTTGCTGTGTGCTTTTAAGGAGCTACTGGACAGCCATCTGCTAAGGATGCTTTCATTTCAAATCCTGGAAGGTGAACTTGATGGCTTTATCCTTTCTGTCGTTCTGCTAAGACCTTTAGTGTGTCATTGTCCAGCTTTCTGGTGGGGCAGACATGGCAAATAGATTTTCTCTCACCTTAGAGCAATGTTTCTCAACCTTGGCAAATTTAAGATACGTGGACTTCAGCTCCCAGTTGAAGTCCACATATCTTAAAGTCGCCAAGGTTGGGAAACATTGCCTTAGAGGCTTTCAGTTCACTGTATTAGAAGACAGGAAAGCTAAATCCAAAATCCAAAGATGCTTCTTAGCTTACATTTTTAAAATAAACTTTGTTTTCATTTTTGTATTTTTACTCTCTTGTTTTAAGATAGGAACTTTTATTGTGATGGTTTCATTCCACTCCATATCATGGGAAGTCGTTGTTCCAATTTATTCTGCATGGATCACGCTTCACCTTGTGTTCTATATCCAGTTTGAGGTACTACATTTTAAGAACGATTTAAAGAAAGTGAAACAGGTATAGTGAAGGGCAATTAGAAACTAGGTCCTACCAAGAGAGATTACAAGATCTGGGGTGTTTAGTTGTGAGAACAGAAGATTAGAAGAGGAGGAGACTCCTGGTGATTCTAGAGTAGTGTGTTTTTCAACCTCAGCAAATTTAAGATGTGCCGACTCCAACTCTTAGAATTCTTCCAGAATTCTGGGAGTTGAAATCCACACATCTTAAAGTTGCCAAGGTTGAGAAACACTGCTCTAAAGTGAAGGACACAAAATCTGGGTTGAATTTACAGGACCCCAGTTGGTAAGGGCTGTTGCTTTAATTGAGATTCTTGTGCTGAGCAAGGGATGGTATGTCCTGGCCCATATAGCCCCTTCTCATCCTGAATTTCATTATTTTTATTGATGAATGTCAGTAGTGTTCTTTTTATAAATTACTTTGGGTTTGGGGGGAAGAAGAGCAGTATCAAAATAACTTATTATCAATTATTAATGTATATTATATATTATGATTTTATTCTAATAACAATAATACTATACATTTTGTAAAATTGGCACTTTGGCTTGAAGATGAGTAACCCAGAGAGACAGATTGAAAGAAACTCTTTAAATCTGGCATTTTGCTGTTGTTCAGATGAGTAGGGTGATGTCACTCAGTGACAATTAGAGGAATTTAGGCTTCAGGGTAAATTCCCAGCCCTTCCTTTTCACTGAAGATAAAGATAATTTTTGTCCTGTTGATACAATTCAAAAGGCGTTAATCACTGGGGTGGTAGAGGTGATGTGCTAAAGATAAGAAAATATGAAGAAGAGAAAGGTAATGAATGCAGGTATTTAAAATAAACAGGGTCAAACAGTTCATAAAATGTAAGTGCAGCATTTCAATGCACATTTTAGGCACATTTTATAATTGTGTGTACGTGTGTGCCTTGAAGTCAGTGTTGACTCCTGGAGACTGCCTGGACTAGTCCCTGTACTTTTCTCAGCAAGATTTTTCAGAAGCGGTTTGCCTTTGCCTCCTTCCTAGGACTGAGAGAGAGTGACTAGCCCAAGGTCACCCAGCTGGCTTTGCATGGTCTCCTGGTTTCTAGCCTGGTGCCTTAACCACTACACCAGACTGGCTCTCAATTGTGTGTGTGTGCGCATATAAAACAGGGGTAGGCAGCCCCCACTCTGACCCTGACTACTGAAAGCACAGTTCTGTACACAT